CTGACCCAGGTGTAGGACCTTGCACTTGGCATGGTTAAACCTCATGAGGTTGGCATCAGCCCACCTCACAAGCATGTCGAGGTCCCTCTGGATGGCATTCCTTCCCTCCAGGGTATCAACTGAACCACACAGCTCGGCGTCATCGGCAAACTTGCTGAGGGCGCACTCAATCCCACTGTCCATGTCAGCGACAAAGATGTTGAACAAGACCGGTCCCAACACCGATCCCTGAGGGACGCCACTCGTTACTGGTCTCCAGCCGGACATTGAGCCATTGACCACAACTCTTTGCGTGCAGCCATCCAACCAGTTCTTTATCCACCGAGTGGTCCATCCATCAAATTGATGTCGCTCCAATTTAGAGCCAAGGGTGTCGTGTGGGACAGTGTCGAACGCTTTGCACAATTCCAGGTAGATGACATCAACTGCTCTACCCCTCTCCATCAGTTCTGTAGCCCCATCAGAGAAGGCCACCAAATTGGTCAGGCAGGATTTCCCCTTAGTGAAGCCATGCTGGCTGTCACCAAGCGCCTTGTTGATTTTCATGTGCCTTAGCATGCCATCCAGGAGAATCTGCTCCAAGATTTTGCCAGGCACAGAGGTGAGACTGACTGGTCTGTAATTCCCCAGGCCATCCATTTTCCCCTTCTTGAAAATGGGGGTTATATTTCCCTTTTTCCAGTCATCGGGAACTTCACCTGACTGCCATGATTTCTCAAATATGATGGCCAGGGGCTTTGCAACTTCATTTGCCAGCTCCTTCAAGACCCGCGGATGGATCTCATCAGGACCCATGGACTTGTGCATGTTCAGATTTTTAAGATGGTCTCAAACCAGTTCCTCTCCTACAGTGGGCGCAAGGTCTTCATTCTCACAGTCCCTGCATCTGCCTTCCAAGACTTGGGTGGTTTGGTCAGAGCCTTTGCCAGTGAAGACCGAGGCAAAGAAGTCATTCAGAACCTCAGCCTTCTCCAAATCCCATGTAGCCAGTTCTCCCGAGAGCTTCCTGAGGGGGCCTACATTCTCCCTAGTCTGTTTTTTATTTGCTATGTACCTGTAGAATCCCTTCCTGTTATCTTTAATACCTCTAGCTAAGTTTAATTCTAACTGGGCCTTAGCTTTCCTAACCTGGTCCCTAGCTTCCCAGACAACATCCCTGTACTCTTCCCATGCCACCTGTCCTTGCTTGTACTTATTATAAGCCTCTTTTTTCAATTGAATTTTCCTCAGGAGCTCCTTATCCATCCAAGGAGGTCTCCTGGCCCTCCTGCTGCGCTTCCTTCTGGTTGGGATGCAACACTCCTCAACTTGCAGCAGGTGATACTTGAATATCAACCAACAGTCTTGGGCCCCTCTGCCCTCTAGGCCTGTATCCCATGGAACCTTTCGAAGCAGGGTCCTGAAGAGGCCAAAGTCTGCTCTTTTGAAGTCCAGGGCAGTGAGCTTGCTGCACGCTCTTCTCGCTGTCCTGAGGATCTCAAATTCGAGCATCTCATGATCGCTGCATCCAAGGCTGCCCTGGAGCGTCACATTTCCAACGAGACCTTCCCTGTTGGTGAGCACGAGGTCAAGCACGGCACCTCTCCTTGTCGGCTCCTCTATTACTTGCAGAAGGAAGTTGTCTTCTACACAATCGAGGAACCTCCTGGACTGCTTGTGCCGGGCCGTACCGTCCTTCCAACAGATGTCAGGGTGGTTGAAGTCACCCATGAGAACAAGGGCCTGCGAGCGTGAGGCTTTTCCTATCTGTCTATGGAGGGCTTCATCTGCAGGTTCTCCTTGATCAGGCGGTCTGTAACAGATCCCCACAGTAATGTCTCCCATAGCTATATTCCCTTTAATCCTGACCCACAAACTCTCTGTGGACTGCTCACCTGTCCCCAGACAGAGCTCCATACTCTCCAGACTATCCCTAACATAAAGGGCAACTCCCCCTCCCCGCCTGCCAGGCCTGTCCTTCCAGGACATTCATTTAATCGCAGGAATAATGTTTTCATACTACAACAGGAAGAACTTTCTCTTTACACGTTCAGTGGATATGGTACAATACTGGCCTGCAATTCCTGAATGGCTTTACGCTGTGCTTCTATAATCTTTCTGTTTTCCTGCAGTTTTCTTTCTTTCTGCTTTAGTTCTGACTCTACAGTTAGTTTCCATCGCTTGATCTTCTCAGCCTCTTTGTAGAGTTTTGAGTACAACTCATTCACTGTTTCTACATTCTATTAAAACAAATTCCACAAATTAATCTCAAATGCAATTTAATTAATAATGTTGTAGATAGGTATTTATCTCTTAGAAATATCACAGGAGTAATTTCTTTTCCACAGATGGTGACACAAGCTTATCAAGAACCAAGGTTTAATTCTTTATTCATCCTCTGTGCATGTATTGGCACATCACAGAAGAAGTAGGACTCAAAAACAAAAGTGAAAAATACCCCACTGCCCTCAGATACAGTGACATTGCTAAACAGATACTCTTAAAGATACAGATCAATGCACTCCATCAATAAAAGTTTTGCTATAATGATCAGTAGAGCCAGAATTCCTCCCATTCTGCGCACCACTTCTCCTTCTTACTTCAAGAGATACTGCTGAGTTAAGTTAAACTGCTTCGGAGATCTTGCCCAGGACTACCTGTGATAAGTTTCTGCCATTAACTCATACATAAAGCAGGAAGAAAAAGCAACCAACTTTGTGCTCTTTGAACGTCTTTAAAGCACTGTACAAGAAACATTCGTTCAGTGGCTTAGGCAGGTAATAGTACACAGCCCACAAGGCAGATCTGCAGCTTGTTTGAGGTATGATGTCAACTAACACTACCCATATTTTGGCTGCACCATGGTATTGTAAGAGTCCTGACTTTAATAGCTACTAGGGCTAAAAGAAGTTTAGTCCTCAGGGATATGAAAATCTTTAGGAGGACTGCAAGCATATTTGTCCCATTTTGTTGCAGCACACAGCATTTCGTATCTGGAAAGCACAGGATGCTACTGCAAAAAAACTAAATAGCTTTACTGAGTTGCACTAAAGCAGAGAAACATTGGTAGAGATGCTGTGAGAAGTATCAAATGCTTGAGGAAACCCCTACACTAAATTCACTGTTTTATAGATAAAATAATGCCAGACAAGGCAATTGGGATAATCTGCTTCAGTTTCCCAAAGAATACTTTGACTTCAATCCTTCTGCCTTTCAAAATATTCAGAACCAGTTTCACAAAGATACTTAAGTGCCTAAACCTTATTCTGATTAAAACTCACAGACCTACCAGGCCCTTAAAAAAAAAAAAAAAATCAATTAAAAAAAAAATCACCTTAATATTTAAAGGCTTTTCTCCACTGAATCACAAATACCTTCTCTATGTGACTCAGCTTTAAATAGAAGACAAAAAATTATTATTCCCCTCTGGCTACTTCCTTTAGCCCTGAAGTATCTACTGAATAGTGCTTTAGGTAGTGTTTCGAGAACAAATTATGAGGCCCTAGGAAATGAGATATGCAGAGTTTATACTTATCTGACCTCTTCATCTACCTCAGAGCCAAGTTTTACTTCCTGTGAAATCGCAGCTGAAACATGAAGAGATTTTGATCAATGTATCTAATAAAAAATAACAGTGGGACTGTATTTATAAGGGTTCCAGCTATGAAATAGTTAAACAATACATGAAAAATGACAACGATATGAAAAATATATAAAGAATGTGTCAAGTAAATGGCTCATTTTAGGCTTACCAGGGTCAGTGATTTCACCACGGTTTGGCGTACCCATTACAAACGGCAAATTAAAATCATCATCTGGGCATTTGTTAAACCCCTGCACAAATTAAAAAAATAGTTTCGGATATGTAGATTTGTAAAGAAGGATTATAAAAGCCAGGAAGAAAAATAACATGAGCTAACATGAAAATAGACTTTTCTGTTAATTAATCAACTGCCCACAATTTGCAAAGTCCAAGGTATTGGTAATGGCTTTGGCACTCTCATGTGGTTCTTACTTCACACTGGCTTTTCAAACTGTTGGTCTTACATAGATTGTTTTACAGACTACGCTGTGGCCAATGTGGAAGCTTTTGATGACAAGAACTTATTAGCCACTGCATGCCTGTGCACAGTTCACACACCTGCTTATGTTTTATCATGAACATTCCATTTTACAAAGCATCACAGAAATTTGCCTTGTAAATAGTGTAACTCATCTCTTGTCAGAATATCACACTGCAATCTAAACGTATTTCATAAGGCACCTAAACATGAAAAAGTATCTTGTTGAATTCACATAACTCAGCATAGAGACAGCACATTTCACTGCACACTTGATCTGGCCAGACCAATAAATCAAAGCTGGCAGGGGTATCCGAGCGGTGCACATCCCACTTACTATCTGAACTGCCCACGTCAAACATGTTTTATCACTGGTGATGCAGTTAAAATACACAACAGATGCTCAAGAAGATGATTCTTTTCAGTTTCGATAGGAACAAAAGGTAAAAGTCTTTGAAATTAAAACTTGAGATGTTCACCCCCCCAGCACCCATCTCAACAGTTGGCAGAAAAACGAGTTCAGCCCCCACACTTCACGTATTTACACGCATGTGCTTTCCGGGAGGGAGGTTCAGGGCTGGAGAGCCTGGTTGCTCCTCGGAAGACCCTCCACTCTTTCACCGCTCCCACCCCCCTCCTCAGCCGTCGCCTCCAGAGCAACACACGGTAAGGCAGGCGGCAACGCCGTTTACCTGACACAGCCCCGTCGCCCGAGCGCTCGCCTGCGGTTTGACTGCAGACACTTGGCCGCTGCTCAGGCGCGGCGGCACGAACAGTTTGAACGGTTTTTCTTTTTCCATGGCCTCGCGGAGTAAGAGGGGGCCGTCACCGGCAGCGCCTCATGACGGCCGCGCCGGGCCCCGTCTGCTGAGGGACGGCAAAAAGGCGGGAAGGGGGCAGCGCGCGACCGAGGAGGGAGGGGAGGTGGCTGCGGGTGGGGCGCGCGCCCGGGCCGGTGAGGCGGCTCCAGGCAGAGCAGTGCCCGTGAGGAGCGATCCTGAGGGGAGCGGCGCGGGTCCCGTACGGGCTCGCCTAGTGCAGGTCCCAGACCTCGCAGAGCAGCGGGGTCAGCCGCGGGTCCCTGGTTCTCCGCGTCACCAGCACCTCCGCGTGGGTGTGGTTGAGGGTGCGTAGTTCTGTGAGGCGGCCGATCAGGCGGGCGAAATGCTGGGGGTCCTCGGGATGATGGATCTTGGAGTACTTGTAGAGGAGGCCCAGGAGCGGCTCCTGCAGCTCTTCGACGTGCCGCTTGTTCCTCAGGAGCGGGCGGTCTGTGGGAGCGCGGCGAGAGAGCAGTGAGCGGGAGCGGTGCGGTTCCGCACCCGGGGGCTCGGTGGGTGAGGGCGGGCAGCGCCGGGGACGAGCCAAAGCTCGCATTACCTGAAAAGAACACCGTCGTTGCTACGAGCAGGGCATATTCGGTCTCGGTCACTTTCAGGTCACCCATGCTTCTGTAGAAGTAAAACAGCGCGGTAATAAACTCCTCGGTTATACCTGATAAATAAAATAACCAGAATGTTACTTCCATGCAGAAACAGGCACTGCTGTTATGAGTGGTCTTTGCCCTAATCTAAGGCTCCAGGCTGTTCTATTGCATGATAATCGTCAGCAAACGTGGTGAAAACAATGTTGATTCCTAAAGTAGTAACAGAAGTTGTATTGCAGTTGTGCAGCTTTTGATATATACAGCTCAAGGCTTTATCTTAGGATGTAAGCAAATGAACCTCTGCCTTCCACGAGGATGTAGTGCCTGTCCGTGTAACAGCATCTTGAGGGAATGGAGAGGAAGAGGAGAAGAGAATGAGCAGTGGCCACACCAACTATTGCTCCGTATGACTGAGAACAGGGCCAGCAAAGTAAAACTCCCAGGTATTTTGATTCTGAGACCTTCATTACCTGTGGTAGTAGTGGAAGTTGGACTCTCTTCACTGTGAGACATTTCCGTGGAGTAAATGTTGTTTCTATCAAGGTTTTGAATGTGACAGTATGTTGCATGATCAGAAAGCCTTACGTGACCTGGAACAAGACAGGTGACAGCTCCCAGATAAGTTTAATGTGACTGTAAATGTATTTCTGCATCGGCTTTTCAAATATATACACAAAAATGTGTGAACTTGTCCCAGAAGCATACAGGCAGAAAAAAAATTGTTCTTTTTATTATCCAACACTAAGTTCATTGGTTGCATTACTGTTGGTCAAAGTCTCTTGACACAGCATCTAATACATCATTAATATAGCTAATATCATCCATCCACCCAACAACTTGTGCTAGCACTCAAAAATGTTGCTCTTTATTTGTAACTAATGGGAGGAAAACAGAGATTCAGTTGATTTTTATTTTATTTTACTGATCTTTGGGGATAAAAAGCCAATAGAAGGTACGTAAGCATAACTGGCACTATTGTTAAGTACCAGTACAGTTGAATAGGAAATTATTTCAGTCAGTTAAAATGAATGGAAGTTGTTTCAAATTGGCAGCACCTCCTCCCGGTGTTAGTACAAAGCTTGTCAGTCAAACTTACTTTCACTTGTTGATGGTTGGCATTCACTGATTCTTTGGTTGTATATTTGGGCTGAACGCAAAAACATCGCCTCAACTGTTGACCCTTTTAGCAGTGCAATCTGATCTTCACTAGCTAAACTTTCAAATCCTGCAGCGAAAGATACATGTTAAGAGTCAAGGAAGCCTGTGGCTGCCTTTAAGCAAAATTTCTTCTTAATAGCTGGTTAGATATAAGGAAGAAGTTCTTCACGTGTGCTTACACCTAGTACCTTTTAAATTTGCAACATCACTTAGTGATTGTGGATATTTATACTTCTTATTCACTAGTATCTGATCTTTTAAAAAATTACGTTCATCTTTTGACAAGCTTATTGTCTGCACTTAGAATTCAAGAGTAAAGGAACTTTATTGATTCTTTTGTTTGTCCTGATCAAAGCAGGGTAGGAAAAGAGCTTATCTGTTCTTTCAGATCTGTTCCACAGTAGTGCTAAATTACATCAAATATCTGCTTTAGACATGCTGATTGGCTTTTCTCAGTAAGTTTTACAACCTAGAGTAGTGAAAGAATTATCACCCTCCCAGCCAAATGTTTGTCAACTTCACACTGAAATTTAATTGCATGTTCCCTTGTCCTTTATTAAAGGAAAATACGAATAGGAGCTGCTTAGTCCCTTCTGTGCTGTGTTTTCCTTTGAAGGAACATCTGTTTTTTTCTTTGATTATGATAAATTGCAAACTGAACTGGATTTCAGAATGTGTTGAAATAATAATTCACTCAGGATGGTAGTTTGAAGTCCATGTACTTTCAGAAAATGTCTCCATGTCAGAAAAAGAAAAATCTAATCCTAGCAAGCTTTTGAAGTGAATCCTTCTAATGTGTCCTTGTGACAAGTAAATGGTAACCCTGATCATTAGATTTGGAAGAAAAACTGGTCAGTGGAATGAGAGTTTTCTTAAAGCCTGTGGCATTCTCGGATTCATGCCATCTGTATAGTTCCTGTCTCTTGGGAAGAAAAGGAGTCACACTGTTCTGCAATATTTCCCAAAGGAAGAAACTTGCCTGGAAGTCTTTTTGTGAAATCCACTAGCACTTGTACATGGATGACTGCTGTCTCAGAGAGATAGAGAAAACTTTCCTCAGGACTTGCAGTTTCCTGCAGCTGCATGAAAGAGCATTTAGACATCTGATATAACCAGGGTGCAGTGCTTAGGATAACAACTTAGCAACACAGGTTGATTGTTCTGTGTACATACAAACTTCTTTGCTTCCTCCAGGGGAATTGTGTATTTTTGGTGTGCTGCTACGATGTGGTCCAGAAGCTGATGCTCCCTTGGAGTAAGTTCCATCTTCTCTGGGATCTGTTAAAAAAAAAAATATAAACCAATGAGGTGATAATGACTTGAGGCAAAAATAAATGATAAAAAGAGATCTTTTAAATAGAAAAATATCCCACTTTTCCAGATCTTGTTGTAGATGATACATGTCTACTATTCAGCCCCTCATCTTCCAGCTTTATATTGTAAAGAAAACTGCTCTTCTGTTTGAAATTCTTTCTGAGCCGCTTTGACTTGCACTGTACTTCAGTCAGCAAACCTGTGAGGCATGGAAGTGTGTGTCAATATGTGTATTTTCAAATAATTACAATTTGAAATAATCACTTATTAATGGAGCTAACACAAGTCTTTCATCACAGGAGCAGTCACCTATAAGGAACTATGCTTGCTAGAGAATATGGCAACGTGTTATTTATTAAATGACTTAGTGTTTAGTATCCTCCAAAGGCCTGAATGTTTGCAGGTTTCTTGCTTGTGGCTCTGTGATAAAACATAAGAATTTTTCATGAAGACTATAATAATAACTTCTTCTAAGCAAAAAAGCACATCTGATAGGCTTCCTACTGCCCTGTCAAGGTTCAGGGTATTTAGCTGTCTCTGGTTAGTGCTTTCTTGTAATGTCTTTGAATAGCCTCTTAACTTAAGGAGATACTTCCCGAGCACTGGTGGTTTCTGCAAATAAAGATGCTACAGGTGCCACAGACTCCAAAGTTCAATCTTCCTACAGCTAAATGAGTTTTAGAACAACACCATTTAGCTTTGATGAGGAAAAGGGATTTGCTTTGGAAAAGGTTTTATGGAGTTGATGAGTAAAGGAGCCATCTTGGAAGGAGCACTTACATTCTGCTAGCATTCCCACAGCTTTACACTTCTTCAGGCGACATTCCTGACACTTCCTTCGCATGTACATGTCCATTTCACAGTGACCACCATTCTTGCATCGATACACTGCATTTTTGGTTATGCTACGTCGAAAGAAGCCTACAGACAAGGATCGGGTTATGACTGAACGAATTTATCTCTAAGGAGCTTTATCTCATAATGATTTAAAGAAGTAAATGTTTTTTGGGGTTTTGTTTGTTTATTTTACAATGGAAACATTACCTTGATTTGACATTTGCTTTTTTAGCGACACAGTTATGTCTTGTACTTTCTGGTGAATATTAATTGCTGTGTTCCTTACCTGGTTAAGACAGCCCCCACATAGCAAGTTAAAATCAGTAGCAAGTAATTATTACTTGGGTTTATCTCATTTTAAAAATAAGTAAAGTTAGTAACACTGACATAAATCTACAATAAATGGGCATCAGAAAATCAGCGGCTGCTTAAACTGACACTATTCTAGTGAACAATCAATGCAAAAATGAAATGCTCCTATTAAACAGACACTGTGAAAGCATTTTTTCAAAAAATGGTATAAAATGGGAATCTGGAGTAAGCATCTTAGATAAAAGGTTTCTTTGGTAAATTAAAATCCTCTGTAGAAACACCAGCTTAAAAAACAATGAAAATCTGTTCATTTAAATCACAGATGTGGAACACTGTTGAGCACTGTGGGCCCAGGGTCCTGCCTAAGATACAGATCAGCCTGTTTTCTTCTTACCTTTGCAGCCTTCACAGGTAAGTGCATTGTAGTGATAGCCTGAGGCCTTGTCACCACACACCACACACAGCTCCTCCTGTCCCTTCATGCTCAAAGAAGAGTGGTTTAATCTTGGCCGTTTTAATGCTTGGTATCCACATCCATCATCCATATGGGATGCTATGAAAGGGGGTTTGCTTAATTCACAGCTGCTGATGACACACTGCCCATCACTATACTGAGAGTCCAGGCTGTACATGCTGTACTGGGAGTGGGAAGGTTGGGACTGTAATACCGGAGGAGGAATTTGAGCTGTTGAATATTGGCAATAAGGAGCAGTCTGAAAATCAGTGTCTTGCAGCTGATAGTTGATGTGCTCTGGCAGAACATCTAGATACAGAAGAAATTGGAAATGAAATAAAAAACTAAACAATATGTCTACATCAGCTACTTAAAAGTCTTAAAATGTTTTATAGATTAAAAATTTAATAACAAATAATAGAGGAACACATTTTCAGAAGAAGAGTCTGGTAATTTCTTTTTAAATGTGCTACCCGTAACGTTTTTAACTAGAATCTTAGATGTAGTAGAAATGGCTTGGTAACAGTTTGGGCCATGTCATGTGGGTGCCAGTAGATTCTTACTAGGACATAATTACCACTTGTCAACTGATGGTATTACACTTAATGGTTGTTTTTATTAGTTGTCCACATTACAGAATATTTCCCATAAGCAAGTGAAGTGTTTGTTACAGATACGTATATCATGCATAATTCTGGAAGTGTTGCACAAGAGTCTGAGCAGCATGGTCCAGAAATTAGAGGGGTTAAAATTAATATGACAGGAGACTTAAAGTTGAAATTCAGTTGAGTGAAAAGCAGAGGCTTGCTTTATTTAGCATTTTTCCACTTATAATCCCTTACAATTTTTATCTTGGCAAAATATAGGTACAGAATTATGAAGAGTGCTTCTTCCTGCCTTTCTGTTGTTAATTTTATCCACCCTTCCTTAAATACACACAGCTATACTGAAGAAAGCTTGTGCAATATGCATCATATTTCAGTCTTCCTTTGGACTTGTAAATCTCTGTAAATACAAATTGGAAGTTGTTGTGGGTTTATTTGGGGTTGGTTCGGTTTTGGTTTGTTTTTTAAGCAGTCTAGAGGGTTATTTTAATGGGCTTTGGGTACTATTTTTCCTCTTCCATAATCAAATTAGTTATTGCAATTATATAAGATATAGAATAACCATTATCTATTTATAATGTGTCTGGAATACTGCAATAAACCTTCTTCATGCAAGTCAAAGGGAGACAGCAGCAGTAATGTTTATGTGGAATGATCAGTCAGCATGATTGTGTTGTGTACCAAATCTGTCTGAGCACATGCTAATACTTTTCATTTTCAGTGTGGGCTTGATAGACAAATGTGTAGTTTTTAAGAGCTTGTAAAGACAAACTAAAATGAAGAAAATAATAGGCATTCCCACAGATGTTCATTTTCTATACTGCTTTTTCATAATACGGAAGTTTTGCTTTTACTCACCATAATACTGGATGGGCTCAGGCAGGCAATACCCATCCGGTACAGTGACAAATGTATTTGCCATGTTCTGCTCCCAGCTGTGCTGTTTCTTTCACTTGCTATGTCATAGACTTTCAGAGGGCAACCTAGAGAAATGGAAAAGTAAGAGAAATAATCATGCGAGAAACAACTGCTGGATAGGGTTAGCTACAGAGTTAAACCCAGAAAACTCCAGAATATGGAACATTTTCAGATCATAAGAAAATCTGTGAAGTCACATAATACTTTCAAAGAGGTTGCAAAATATTTCCTTTTCCTAACAGTACAGATTCAGAATAGAGAACATTCCTAAATGTGCAAGTTATAGTTAGAACTGTTTTGCTCTGAATTTTACACAAAACCATGTGGAGGAATCAGACTGATCATTGGTAAATTTTCTAGTTCAGGAAGAGATTAGAAGGAGCTTTGCTGGATAGAGAAAACTTGCTTCCAGAATGAGTTCAGGCATTTGCACTGATGTGGATGTGGTGGATGTTCTGTTTCTGCACAAACATGGGCTTTTAGTGAATTTGCTTCATTCACTTCTTCGTCAAACCTGAAGTAAATAGAAGAAAACAGCCTGGAAAGGCCAGAATAGAATATCTTCTTCCTCACATAAATACTCTTTTATGCAGTAAAAGTCAGCTTTGCCTCATTTAAGCACTGCCTGATTTACATTTAAGAGCCTGTATTCCTTAAAAAGTAAAAAGCATCCTGTGAAGACCAAAACACATCAATTTCCTATAGGATGTATTACCCTCTAGAGAGCTTTTCTCTTCCCCTTGGTTAGTGAAGGAGCCTGGGCTACACTTGGATGCTTTGACTTTCACTGTAAGGAAGTGTACTTCTTGAAAGACACACACCCCTTCCCCTCAATCTGGACTGATCTCTGGAACTGAACACTTTCTGTTCATGTTGTTAGCAGAAGGTGAAAAGATGCAGTGAGGCTGGAATGCTGGGGGTTTTTTTGTTATCTCTGTTAGTAAATATTTGTTTGAGAAAGAAGTGACTCACTGAATCATGAGGTCCTTATCAGTTAGATCAGTTTGGCCTGGGCAAAGTCTACATTTTTCCCCAAAAATGTGTATTTGCTTAAGAAACATGCTTCTGGGATCCAGTAGTTCTTTAAATAAAGATAATAGAAGAACAGAAGCTAATATAAAATGACACCAACCCAGTCTGAAAAGTATTATATTGGAAGTATGAAGTACATATGGCCAAACACAAGGTGGTGTTTTGATAAAATATTCTAAATCTTGGAAACAGACTTTGATTAGGCAAAGTTCCCTCAACTTCAATATTGTATTAGGAACAGATTTGAGGATTTAGACCTTCTTACCGATTTTTTCTGGCTAACAAAAGTTATCAGTTGCAACCACAGAATTCACAGCTTAGAACAAGACTTCGTAAATTAAAATTCTTAAATTAAGAGAACGTTATAGCAGTATTTATAGTAAATCCAGAAGTTATTTGAAGAATGCTATACTGTCCTGAAACAAGAGTAATGGTCATGCTTGCATATGAATGCCACTGTTTCATTTTCTGACACTCTAGAATTCACTGTTAACAAATTTGTTTTCCTGATATAAAATTGCATTGGGCTTTTTATAACAAAAATATAAAGATCAGATTAAGATGTGTAAAGTAGGAACTTAATTTTCTAGGACAGGATAAGTTTTGTTTATTTCTAAGATCGACTGTTGTAGTCATGTGTTGCAACCTTTGCCTCGCCCTTTGTGTGAGTCTATTAGCAGTAGGGAAACCTCCTCCAAACTTGAGAAGCTGCTGAAGGAACAGAAGCTCAGTAGCTGTCCCTAATCTCTCTCACCTCATAGGAGTGAACAGTGACCTAAAGGACACTTCTTCAGCCCACACATATGTTCAGTAATCCTTTGCCATGTAGGCAAGTAAATTCTGCACGCACACAGAGCTCAGCTCCACACTGAAGGCTGTGGGAATCCTGGACAGAATGTAGTACGTGCCTGATTGTAATTTTCAAAACATAATCACTTGGACAAAGTTGAAGTGAAGTTGGCAGAGAGCTCTGGGGGCTTAGGGCAGTTACAGTCATGCTGTTTCCAAACCAAAATATTTTGTGCTCATTTTTTCTGTTAACTCAAAATACAGCTATATGTTTTGTGTAAGTGTGCTTTAAAAAGGAAGCAAAAAGAAAGAAATATGTTTGGGGGTTGGAACTAGATGATCCTTTGCAATCCTTATGATTCTGTAATTGAAGAGAAGGTTCATAAAGGTCTTTAGCTTAAAAAGAACTGAAATCAAAAGATTTTAGTAACTTGTTTCATAAAATTACAAGTAGTAACAGAGGATTAAAGTCTTTAGTCTTCAGCCAGACATACTGACCTGAAAGAAAATGTCATCTGCGTAAAAGCTATTCCCTGCTTTTCCTTCTTTTCAGTTACTCCCGAGATGCTGTTTCAGCTCGGTATTTTCATGTGTGAAATCCTGATGGGGAGTGTGTCATATCTGTTTGGTTTCAATTTTAAAAGTCTCTGTAAGTGTGTAAGTGGAGTTATGGGTTTTTTCCTTTTTTTCCTAGACGATGAGTCCTAGGCTGTAGGTTGCTTAAGCACGTTTGAAAATGTTCCACTTTTCCAAGTTTAGTTTTGACAATAATCAGTCTTCTGAACTACTAATGTTCAATATAAACTGGAGTGGATGTTGATTCAAAGGGTTAATTACCTGTCTAATACAGAAATTCACCAACATTCAGTTCTTAGTCCTGCCCTAATGACTTCTCAGTTTATCAAAGAAGATGGAAGCCAGTAAAGAAAACAAAACAGAACCCAATAATCGATAAAAGTAATATAGTATCACAAAGCAGACACTTAATAGAATGTACACGTTCAGACTGGAACGTACAGTACATGTATCCATTTTTATTTATGGTGAAAGATGTTTTTACTATTTCTATTGCTCTAAAATACAGTATTATAAAGTAACATATTAACTTATCAAATTTGTTAACATGCAAAATCTACTTGTAGAAGAGGCTCTGGGGCGTCTTTAAGAGGTATGTATTGACAGTACTTCAACTGTTATAGTAAATATTTTGACAGTTGAGTCATAAGGAAATTTCTTGTTTACTGGGAATTTTAGGAACTCAAGCTGAAGGTCTCCAACATTTATTTAACACACCTTGTGGTACATTACTGATCATGCACTGGAGCCAGATAGCATGTTTCAGTCTCGGTGTTAAATCGCTGCACTCTTTTTGCTTCTGGAAAGCATAACTTAGTTTTTTCATTTGTGAAATTTAAACCAAAACCTGAAACAAATGATAACTGAGCACAGTTGGTGTCAATATGCTTGCTCCCAGATGAGCTATTCAGTTTCACTCAAGCAATTCAGCAATCACTGATTACTGTCATTAAAGAATTCTTTCACAGCATAAGTTGTAGGATCACTTGATTCATCCTGTATGCAGCTTACATGCATTATTAAGGTTATATCTGTTTCTCCCAGTTTTAATGTTCCAAGAAGCTCCCCAAAGCTGCTGTTTGAAGAAATCCCACTTTTCCTTGTCATATAATCACCATAATAGGAATTGACTTATTTCACTAATGGACTGTGTTGGAATTATCTTATCATCCTTTGGAATTGCTACCCCATGAACAATTATTTCAAAGGTATCATCTTTATATATTGTAAAATAAGAGGTTAGAGGTTGTTTGGAACTTAGTGTTTTCCAGGTACTTTGGGGAAGGGAAACAGATAATGGAATTTAAAAGTCATTTTACTTCACTCTGGATGTCAAATGAAGAACTGCTGGAACAAATTCTTGTCAGTAGGATGCCAAATTTAAAAGCCTCTTCTATTTTCATTTAGTCAGATGTTTAAAGGGGGAAAAAAGGAAGGAAAAAGAAGAAAAAAGCCCAATGCTTGAAATATTTTCACATGGCAAATTGATTTATGGCCAGAGCAACAATTTATAATCCCAGAGCAGTCAGGGAAGTACATGAAATACTCACGGTAGTTGCAGAATTTCTGGCTCCCAGAGCTGAGTCCGTGGAGCTGCAGCGCTGCTCCGAGTCTGAGTCCAGCTGGAGCAAACAGGGCCTTTTCCGTATTTATCAGTTTCTGAGCATACACAAGGCTCCAGACACTGCGCAGAGCAATGCTGCACTCAGAGACACAAACTTCCCACACAGCCTTTCCTGGGGTCGCAGCAAGGGCAGCTGCAAGTCCACATAAATCAAATAATAACTGGGTCATCAGGGACAGAGGCCATGGGACCCTCACGTCACTGCTTCCCAGAGTTCTCTGTGTCCACTTACTAAATATTCTTGGTAGAATTCTAAATTCTCCCATTTTGCTTGTTTAAGATTGCCATGTCTGTGTGTAAATGGATAATGTTCATTTCCTGGGCAGAGAAATACTGCAGCAGTATTATTTGATTTTGGAAACACTGATGAAGTCAGGATCTCCAAACACAAACCACTCACCTGGTTCTCCCTATTCTAATTCTGACACACCTGAGCTGATGCAGTGAGCACAAGGCTCATGTGCTCCCATAACAGACCACAACTGTTAGCAACTTCTGTTGCTGCTACTTCTGCAAAATTTCATTCTTAAACCCCCAAGTATTTCCATTCTTAATAATTTCTCATACATGAATCATTATGATCTGAGGTTTTGCTCATTTCCTAGATAAAGTATGTGATCTTTGGTAGGGCACTTTCTTGTTAGGTATCATGTCATTATGCTTGCTCCCCAACATGATGTACGGAAGGTTAGATGCAAACATACTACTTCCAGAAGGGTGTCACTTTTCTTCTGTGGAAGAACAATTCTTGATTTACATTAGGAAAACCTGGGTGTGTTGTAGACTTCATGGAATTAGGTGTCAAAGGGAAAAACTCAGTCCATGTTGGTTATCTTACTGCAAAGTCACTTAAAATAGTCTTTAGGGACAATAGGTTTTCATGGCATAGCAAGCTAATATTACCCTTCAGAGTTACATTTGTATTCCATAGGCTCCAGAGAAGAGCATGCTACTGATTTCCACACAGTCTGTCACCATTTAGGAATCTCCTAGTCTTTGGAGGTGAATGGTTGAGTCTGACTTTCAGGATCAAAAAAGATTGACTCATGGGTGTTGTTTGAGCATCTTACAGGGCTTTTTGAGCTTTCAAATGCCCGACATTGATGATGTGTGGTGACAGAGGGCTGGAATGTACTGTTTACACAGTACAGACAAAGATAATGAGCTTTTAAGTTTCATTATGATCAGCATTTGTCTTTCTGGTAAAAGCAGCCTTATACAGCAATTTACTAAGACATCACAAAAACTTCAGTAGTAACAGTGAAGACGTTACAATTGTTAGAACTCGGATTTCTTTTGCAGCAGTGTCTTTCACATACACCACTGGCTTTTCATCCAGTTTTTCAGCCTTTCCCATGAAAGTTGGAAAAACAAGCAGGGGTTTGTGAACTATTTCCTTTACCTTTTAATACTACTGACTTTTTTTTAGTACCTTTTCTGATATGATACCTTATTGGTAAGCTGGTCAAATGTGCCTGAGGGACACGGGCATTTAAAGCCTATTGCCTTCAGGAAACTCAAGTCTGAAGCTCAGGTTTTTAGAAGGTAACTAATCCCTCTTCTGTCCGTATTATAAACCCTAGTGGATTCAGAATAAATTCAATTTCTAAAATAAGAATATAGGAACCTAAAACTTAGTCATAGTATAAATCAAGTGCAGTGCCACGTAAATCATTAGCCTGTGGTCATTTGCTCCAACCCACATGCTGTCCAGTCATGCAGTGATTCACACCAAGTTACTGGTCCACGTTAAATACATACAATTATATTATTTTAACAGGCCCCTTCTCCTATTCGAAAGTTTGTGTGACAATAAAAACGGGAGACCTGAGAGCCCACTACAGTCACACAAAAGAACTGGTTAAAGGAAGTCATATCTACTCCAGCTGGAGCTTCTCTACATAACTGACCTGCTTGGCTTCATCTGGTATTGGATTGTTTACATAACTTCAGTAATTAACCACTATCAGCCTCATTAATGAAACATAAACCACCTCTTCTGCTCATTTATAAAGCACTTGTCAAACAAAACTTAAACAAAGGGCACAATCTCAGCAAAGTAACAGCCCTTCAGAAGCTCCTGAGGCTCTGACTACCAGTCCTGACAGTCACTTTGTTGTTGTTTGTCAGTAAGAATGAAACAGAAGCCATGGCATTGTATATTGCTTTTGGCTAACTCTCCACAAAAACATCTGAGTTCTGTCACAGGAGGGCAACGATGCCTGGACAACTATTTTGGCCATTTCAGTACAAAATCCTGATGTTCCAGCTCATTACTGTAAATCATTAAATGATGAAAGCGAGAGTCAAATACTAAACTGGGAGCCTTTGGAAAACTATTTGCTAATTGCAAATAACAACATTGTTGTTATATGTGAGTTAAAGGTTATATTGAAATACAGATTATATCCTATCATCTGGGGATTAAGTTAGTAAACTTTCAGAACAATATTAAAGAAAGTTGAGCTTTAACAACACAGCTGAGGTTCTAAAATGTTCCTTTACCTATTTTTGTTTTAGAGAAATGTTTCAGAGGCATAAAATAGACTGGTAGACAAATAGATAGCATGAAAAAGTAGTCCAAGAGCCACATGCATTTACAATCTATTAAGGAGCTCATGGAAAACCTGCAAACTTTTGTTCACCCTCTTCTGGATTATTTATTAATCTTCAAAAGGTGCGGTGGTTCTGGCACTGTCGGGATGTTCTTCATGGCATGGATGAACCTAAACCCTGGGTGAGAGAAGGCACAAAGCCTCCTGACTTAGCACTTCTGCATGTTGGTGTGCATTCCTGGCTTTAACAAGAGAAAGATTTATTTTAATGGGATGTGTACCTGTTGAACATGGTGGGTTCAGTTGTTGGATCACATGTTCTGAGAATCTGTAGGTACAGCAAAGAGAAGATAAATTCTGAACCTCATTTCCAAAAAGCAGAATATCTTGACATTATGTATTAAGCATTCCAGAATAATTATTGTGGAATCCCTTGGTCAGCATTTTATCAGCAGTGGAGTCTTGCTGCTGAGAGATTTAAAAAGCTGGATATATCAATTTATCAGCGATAATGTTTTCCCTTTTTTCTAGCCTGGATTTCATCTTAAGGACATTTGTTTTGATAGTAAAAAGAATATTAGACTCATAAACATGAGTGCTGTGATGCAGTGGGTGACTCTTCAAGATTTATCAAAGCAGGATAATTGAGATGAACAATAAGACTGAGTTTCTGGGTAATAGTTTTTGTCACAGATGAACTCTGGGTTTATGCAGCAGTAATCCACCTGGAAGTACAGGCTGGGAAGTACAAGAGGAGGATTCACTTGGCCTAATGTGCTGCAGATTTTGTGGAGGACAATATCAGTGACACTGTAACAGTAGCTGATGGTTGTGTTAACACCAGCACCAGATTCTAAAAGCCAGCAGTAAGAAGTGTTGGGGGAGTGGTGTGAGAGAGGCCTTTGCAAACAAACTGGAGCTGATGATATGTTTGGCTGTTAGACACCAAGTTTTTCAAGGAAGGACTTGTAGTGGACATGAAAGAAGCCGGTGTCTGCAGAACGATGGTGTGAGACCTGTCAGAGACTTAGCCACAAGTTTTCAAACTGTGCTGACCACACTTAGGATTAATATGATTTTACCTGAAACCCAAGAATTATCCTAGAAATTTGCCCTTTATTCTTTTATCTATTTCCAGCATTTAGATGCCACTTGGTCTGTTGCGGATGTTGCCATTTTCAGCCCATCAATTCCTCTGGGCATTATCATCCACAATTTACTCCACCTCCAGTTCCTCGGTAAGTTACGGGCATCACCTGGTGCACATTCACATCCTCTGTACTGATGCCCAAACCTGTTCCAGGTCTGGCTAGGTTTCCTTTCTACTTTCCTACTGTGAGCAAGAACCTGTTTATTCCATCACAGAAATACTATAAATACTACTTATAAAATTAAAACATAAAAATCGTAAGTTATTTTTCAAAGATGGCCTAGAAATGGTTTTCATGCTGTTTTGGAGAGCCTCAACATGCTTTGTTCCTGCTAGAACAAATCCATGTTCTGTTTGACAAAATACAGCCATGTGGTTAAGAGTTATTAAAAGCATTAAAACATTAACCTCTTGTACCCTCATTTTTCACTTTGTACACATACATAAGTGTTTAATCGAATTGAAGTTAAACACTAAAAAGTTTGAGAGGCCAAATTTATACATTCTCTTTAGTTTATACAGAATGGATGTGATAAGCCAAAGGAATTACAAGACACCACTACTCAGAAAAAGCTCATCCGTTGATTTAAGCTCTCTTGCTCCGTACTAGAACATCTGGTGACAAACATTCCCAGCATTTAAATCAAGGAGCTTTGTCCTACTGGGATCAGTCGGTGTCCTGGCGCCACACTAACTTATTCTACTGTCCCATGGAAGCTGAACAAATGATTCTGTGTCAAAAGATCTGCTGGAGAGGGGATGAGCTGCATCCCAGAGTGAGAACACAAGACTTAGTGCTTTGTGGCCGTAGTATAGTAGACTTAACTGATTCTCATTCTACAGTTTTATTTCAAAGAGCCTGAATCCCAGAAGGGATTACACTGGTCCTGAACTGAAAAGTCTGATAGAGCAGTGCTGACCCTTGTCTCCTTTGCTTGTCTCTACTTGGCATGGAAGGCCAGGATGTCATCTCTAAAGCCAGGGAGAAGCGTTTATTAAATCAGGAGTATAAAGGCAAGGGCCAGGCCAGAGATTCAGACATACAATCCACGTGCAGCTTCTGCTGAGGTGTAATGATCCTTCACCAGGGCTTTTGAGCAACCTGGCAACTGCAACTAGCAGTTGATATTTGTTGTTTTTCCAAATGTTTGTGAATTACCTGTTACAAAAAAGGAATTCTCATAACATGTTGTCTTAACTTTGTAGTATTCTCTAACAAGAAGAAAAATAAGGAAGGCCCAGAAGGTAACACATGGTGTAAAGCATGGTCTGGACATTTAGTTCATGCAGTTTACTATAAAGGAGCATTACACTTCCCGAATTTGCAAAATCTATATCCTACTTCACTTACTAATCTGATTCTGATGAAACACTCCAAATGCAGATGCTTACTCTGTCCTCTTCTGGACTGTAGGAATGGTTTGACATTGTTGCTTATATAAAATTGTCTTACTCAGCACTTCCGCACCGGGCTTGGTGGTGTCTGGGATCCCACAGAAACCTTCATCTGATAAAGCATCCTAGTTTTTTCTTGTGTGTCTGAGTGAGTCTTGTGAGTCTTTAACTTAAGTCAGAGGGAGTGCCATGGGAACCTTATTGTTGAAAACATGATTGATAAAGTTAGTGATATAAAATAAAGGAGCTTTGTGGCTCAAAGTTACTCCAAACATCAAGGACATCACAGATCACGGACAGTAGCTTTAGTTAGCAAATAAATACCAAAGGAGCAAGTCAGCATTGCACAGCTTGTTATTTTAGCTGGAGTGGAGGATGTTTGCAGTGAAGAGGGGCACATGGGAGCATAAGATAAGCAGACAGCCCAGCAGCCCTCAGCCCGGGTTTATCATGCGCTGTCTAAGGCAGGAGTGGAGAAGATAACAGCACCCTGGGTCAGGGACACAGAATCACAGAATCAACCAGGTTGGAAAAGCCCTTTAAGCTCATCCAGTCCAACCATTCCCCAGCACTGCCAAGGCCATCACTAACCCATGGCACTTAACGGCCTCGTCTCCACGGTGTGTGAACACTTGCAGGGATGGTGACTCCAGTGCTGCCTGGGCAGCCTGTTCCAATGCCTGAGCACCGTCTGGGGAAGAAACTGTTCCTAATATCCAGCCTAAACATCCCCTGGTGCACCTTGAGGCCGTTTCCTCTTGTCCCATCCCTTGTTCCTTGGAAGCAGAGCCCAGCTCCTCCTGGCTCCATCCTTCTGTCAGGCAGTTGTAGGCAGCGACCAGGTCCCCCGAGCCTTCTCTTCTCCAGACTGAATCCCCCAGGTCCTTCAGCCCTTCCCCATCACACTTGTGCTCCAGGCCCTGCACCAGCTCCGTTGCCCTTCTCTGGCCCCGCTCCAGCACCTCAATGTCTCTCTTGAAGTGAGGGGCCCAGAGCTGAACACAGGATTCGAGGTGCGGCCTCACCAGTGCTCAGTGCAGGGAGACAATCACTGCCCTGGCTCTGCTGCCACTCTGGTGGTGATACAGGCCAGGATGCTGGGGCTTCTTGGCTGCCTGGGCACGCTGCTCTCCCATCGCGCTGGCGCGAACCGGAGCCGCTCCGCCCGGGCACCTCCGGCAGCACCGCCGCTGGGAGCGCGCATCGCCCGCGCCTCAGCGCTCTGGGGCGGAGAGAACGCAGGGCTGAGCTTCCGCCGACACGGTCGCGGGCGTCGACGGGGGTCCGATGGCGCTGCAGCGCCCGCCCTCCTCCTGAGAGGCAGCCCGCAGCAGTAAAGAGCGCGGCGGCCCGAGCTCCACGTCAAGGGTCCGGCCCGGCACTGGGCCCTGGACCCGAACCCGGACCCACACACGGACCCGCCGCCTAACCGGGGGCGGAAGCGGCGGGGTCGCGCGCTGCCGGTCATGAGGCGGGCGCGGGGCTGAGGAGCCGGTCGCCATGAACTGCACCATCGAGAAGATCCTGACAGACGCGCGGACGCTGCTGGAGCGGCTGAAGGAGCACGACACCGCGGCCGAGTCGCTCATCGACCAGTCCGCCGTCCTGCACCAGCGAGTGGCCGCCATGAGAGAGGCGGGCGCGGCGTGGGCCGAGAAGGTGAGCCCGGTGTGGCGGGCGGCGGTGGGGTGGCTGCGGGGCGGCACGGGCTGATCGCCGTGTCTTCAGCAGGGCCAGGGCACCGCGGCGGAGCGGACCGACTTGTCCCGGCTGCGGCCTCACGCGCTCCTGTCTCAGGAGAACACGCAGATACGCGACCTGCAGCGGGAGAACAGGGGTGAGTGCGGTGGCACCGGGGGCTGAGATGTGCCGGGACCCGGGGGGGGGGGTATCGGGAAGGGGTGTTTGGAGCTCCCGGGGCCGTTGGGTGGTGCGCTGGGGTGTGATGTGTGGCGGGGCCTGCCGAGGGGACCGGGGAGCGCGTCTGTTCGGCCTTCTGCCAGGGCCGCTGGGTGCCCCAGGAGGTAGCAGGAGGTGATCCTGCCCCTCTGCTCTCGTGAGACCCCACTGAGTGCAGTTCTGGTGTTCTCAACATAAGGACATGGAGCAACTCCAGAGGAGGCCGCGAGGATGCTCAGGGGCTGGAGCGCCTCCTGTACGGAGCCCGGCTGAGAACACTGGGGCTGTTCAGCCTGGAGAAGCTGCGTGGAGACCTCAGAGCAGCTCCCGGTGTCTGAAGGGGACTGCAAGGATGCTGGACAGGGACTCTTCATCAGGGACTGTAGTGATAGGACAAGGGATAATGGGTTCAGACTTAAATAGGGGAGATTTAGGTTAGATATAAGGAAGTTCTTCCTTGTGAGGGTAGTGAGGCACTGGCACAGGGTGCCCAAAGAAGTGATGAATGCCCCAGCTCTGGCAGCATTCAAGGCCAAGTTGGACAGGGCCTCAGGCCACATGGTCTTGTGGAAGGTGTCCCTGCTTGTGGCAGGGGATTGGAAGGGGATTATCGTAAGGCCCTTTCCAACTCAAACTGTTCTGTGATTCTGTGTTTCTATGCCTTGGAAGTGGGAACTGCTGTTGAGATGGCCCCTTGGTCTGCTAATGGCTCCAGACAGCCGGTGGCCACAGGCCCGAGCCCTGGGGCTGCACTGGGAAGGGGAGTGATGGGATAGCACCAAGGAGGGGAGCAGCTGGTACGGGGAAACGGCAACGGCTGACATGGCTATGGAAAATGGCTTGTAGTTCGTGGCAATGAAATGCAGTGCTTTGCAGAGCTGTGGATCTCGCTGGAGGAACACCAGGATGCACTGGAGCTTATCATGAGCAAATACAGAAAGCAGATGTTACAGCTGTTGCAAGGGAGAAAAAGTGAAGATGCTGAACCAGCCTTGAACGTTCACCAGGCTAATTCTTTGGTAAGGTGGGATGGGGTCAGAAGAGGGCTCAAGACACCTGTTCCCTGTCTCTTGCTTTTGTACAACATTTGTTTCCATCCAGGGAACATCTCTGCTACAAAAGACATTTTCTGAAACTCCTGTCTCTCTTTGCTGGTATTTTTTTCTATATTCCTTTTCCAGGGATAGAGATTCCAACTGTTAATGGTTGTAACAGTTATCACAGAGGACACTGAAAAGCACAGCCCTTTTGCAGCTGGGGTGAAGGCTTATTCTTTATGCACTAGGTCCTAAATTCCCTGTGTTAAGCGTAATGCACATGATTCTCTACAATAAAATCAAAGGCATCAGAGTTGTTACTGTTCAGGAATTTTAACAGAGGGAGAAGATCCTTCTAAATCTCTGTGAGCTGCAGTGTGTTTTATTCTTAAGAGACCATCACTCCCAAATGTTTTTAAATCTGCATACTCAGTGGCCTAAAAGTTCCCCTTCATCAGTGACTTCAGACCTCTGAGCTGTGGCTGCTGAAAAATGCTGCCTATTTTATGTTTAGGCATCTAGTAATAACATTAAATCCCCATTTAAGCTTATGATTTCAGTTAAGCATTTGTTAAGATGCATTTTTATGTGATTAGAGAATAGCAAGCTGGTTAAAGCTAGTGACATATCATATCTTGTGGGGTTTTAATCGGTATTGGAGCTAACCTAACTCTGCACATGTGTTTTCCACCGATACGTGGCAACTTGTTCTCTAGTTTGTGTCACTTAGGTCTTCTGCAGTAGCTAGCTCAGCAGTGTCTTGCTTCCAATGCTTGCTTAGGGGCATGAATTGCTCTGTTTATCAAGTCCTAACATTTGTACAAAGCTTCCATCATTATTCTCTGTCACTGCTTTTGTTTCACTGGGGAAAAATCTTCTGTACTTCAGATTAAATCCATGAATTTTTCTCCAGCACTTGGAAAACAGTAACAACCTTTTAATGTCTTTTTAAGAGCTAAATTCTTGCTGTAACCGTCTTTCCGTTTAGGGAAAAACAAAGTAATTCTTTCTTCCCAGATTAAGTAATCCAAGGTTTTCTTGTTCCTCCAGATGTCTTTTAGATGCTCTAATCTGTTTACATATTTCCCGAATCATGGAATTTAAAACTGAATTCTTTGCTCTGGTGATATATTTATCTTCCAGAGGCAGTAGAATAACTACTGATGCTTAGAGGAAAAAGCCTCTGTCCTGTCACTTTATCTGGTATTCCCCAAAGGGCTTTGTGATAACCTTATATTTTTGTTGCGTTAAAATGCTTCAGAAATTCCAAGTTCTTAGACAGGGCTTGGAGCAAACTGCTCTAGTGGAAGGTGCCCCTGCCCGTGGCAGGGGATTGGAACTGGATGAGCTTTAAGGTCCATTCAACCCAAACCACTCTGTGACTCTATGATTCTTGCCACTTAACAGCATTTTTGTGTTTGCACATTTGAGTTCCTCTCTGAATACTGTATTTGGAAACAGAACACTCTCCAAACAGGATTTGTTGCTACATAATCAGTACCTCTTAGAACTTTTCAATGCTCTTTATATGTGTGTTTCTGAGCTTCAACAAATTCCATCTCCCAAAGGATTAGAGCTGTGTCTAGATGTGTTCTGTACAGACTGCCTCAGGAAGCTCTAGTCTGACATGGTTTACTTTCCTTGCTTGGCATCCTGCTGAAATGAAGCTGTTTACTTCACAGTTACTTAGTCATGAAACTCATTTGCCTTTATGGTCGGTGTTCTTAATTCAGTCAGGCTTTTCTAACAAAGCAATAGGAAATTTGCTG